AAAAAAAAAAAAAAAAAAAAGCATAGCACATGGGCCCAGTCCTGAAGCTGTTGCATCATGAAAACACCTCTGTGATTTCAGTGATGTGTTAGGATGGGAACTATTGTGGGTAAAGATTTTTAACGAGGCAAAGTGAAGAGGCTCGGTATGAGAGGGCATTGGGACGGAGAAGGGTGTACCCAGAAGTGGCCCTTCCATTATAAAACCCTGTCTGTATAACCAGTGTTGTTTCAAAATCTCATTGGTTTGCAAGTTGTTGGACAGGCCTTTCCTAAAAGAAGACGGATACTACGAATATTCAGACTGAAAGGTGTTCGTTTATTGGTTGCAAATGTTAGGGTTATAATTAGTCTTTCAAATGAAAATTATTCTACAGTTTGCACTGTGCTGTTGTTCCTCTGGTTCAGTAACCTAGACATGGAATATGAAAGCCCAAAGGGGGAGAGATATGAGTGCTAAAAAAATGAGGAGGCCATTAAAAAACAATCCTGGAAATGAGTGAGTTACCAAAATGATCTCCAAAGAATTCAAAGTGCGTGCAGCGTCCACATGCACCGCACGTGCCTAAGCCATCTGCTGCCTCGTCTCCACCCTAAAAATGCCTCTTAGGTTGTCAGAACCCAAAAAAGGAAGATCACGACCCAATGCAAAGGTGTTTGCTCGACCGCAGCAGAGCTTGAAAGGAAACTACCTGGCTTGGGGGTGTCATTGCAAACTCAAACCTTGGAGCAGGACTGTCAAAAAAAGAAAAAAAAATCTAGCCAAATGTTGGATTAATGTAGCTGAATCGATGAGTTTTCTGGTCAAAAGGAGGTGATGTTTTCAGTGGCTCTTTCCTGGAGTTGCTAGTTTTGACCAAGTTGCAGGAAACCCAAAGAAAAACTTGAATTTTGGGGTGAGAGCAAATGCTGGAATTCGGGAGACCAAAGATGAAGTCCTTGCTCTGCCACGGGTTTCCTGCATGGCAATGGGGAAAGGACGTAGTTTCTTTCAGCTTGAGGTCCCCATCTCCAACCCTGCAGCAAGATTAGCCCCCTGCTCACAGAGGTACTGTGAGGATAAAGACAGGAGGGATTATGAGGTGCTCAGATGCTCTTGCAATGGGAGCTCTATAAGCACCTACAAGATACAGGTAGTTAAAGTACAAATTCCACCTCATTTCAGATTCAAACTGAAAATGAAAAAACAAGTTCATTTAAAATATATATTTGTTGCTGTCAAGCTGTATGTAGTATAAATATTTGAAATGTAAATAAGATAGTTCTAATTTATTCTACATGTATCCAAGTCTTGTAATTGAAATATTTATACACTTGAAATGGAGTTGGCTATGGTAAAGAAGGAGATTTAAAATGGTTTCTGAAACACATATTTATTATTTAAACATATATTTTAGCTATAAACACTCTAACATAATTACAACCTTTCTCAGCCAGAGGAGAACTAAATAAAAACTTAATTTGTCACATTACTTTTGTGCAGAAAGGCAGATACCTCAAGCCAGTGAGTTCAATTAATATGCAGTTCCCAAATTACTTATGAAAGCGATTTTAAAATCCTATGTTAATTTTCAAGCACTGCAGCATTGGCTGTCTTGTGAGTAACTTACATAAGCGATGCCCAATATTTGGGCTGTTTTGTTCCCCTGAATGCTAGAACGTAACGCTTAGCGTCAGGTGTTGGAGCAAATACTTGTGACTATAAAGTCGAAATGAGTTTGTTAGTAAGTATTCTGCTCTGTTTGTTCAAATAGGCCATTCCTTTGAACAGTCGCTTGCCAGGAGCAGTCTGCGTATTCTCCGGGTCAGCTGGAAACTCTCAGTCTTGCCTTTTATACTGAGAGAAGTTGGAGAGACTGGGAAACATCAGCTCTTTGCTCTCGCATGGCACGGAGGCAGTTGTTAAGTTGCTGAACCAAAATCTGTGCCTAAGATTTGCAGAGCCGATTATTGCTTTTGGGTGTCTCAGCCACTGCATGTAGTCTTTGAGGCCTGATGTCCAAGAAGGGCTGAGCACTGTCTTTCTGAAACACAGGGCTCTTGAAAGCATCTCTGGTTGGGCATCCAGAAGTGAAGGCATCCCAAAGCACTGGTCAGTTTTGAAAGTTTAGGCCTATACTTTTGTGTAGATGCTCCCTGGCCTCTTTCATGGTCAAAGCTTTACTACCCTGAGTGAATCATAGACCAGTGGTCTCCAAAGTGGGGCACGCAAGACGATCCATTGGAGTGCGGGAAGAAAATATTAGAACTTCTATTTCTATTTCTATAAATATACATATATTGGGGGTGTGTGCTCAAAATTTTTTTACTGATAAGGGTGCACGAATATAAATGT